TAAGGTGGCTGAACACAGTTTTTGCGCGCGCTTTTGCTGAAGCATTTCAGCGCGCCCACAGGGATCGTAAAAAAACAAACATGCCGTCAATAGAGCGGTCATTTTATTTACTCAACACGTACCCACACTATCTGTGCTATATTTTTCTCTATAGTTGGCGCAGTGTATTGAAGGCTTTATCTTTTATTACAAAGATATGTTAGAAAAGTTAACGGGTGAAAAGAACCCAGCAATTCTCAGCTTTTTCGTCGTTACCGAAAGAACCCAGTTAAATGCAGCGCATGGGTAGTAAGTCAAAAATTGCGATTGAATGGAATATTGCTTTCCCGGAAATATGCCTATTTCTTGAGAACCACTCATTAGAATTTCACGAAATTTGGCACGAAAATACTTCAGGAAATAAGTAACTGGATTATTGAAAAAAATTGATTTTAAACATAGAAAATTCTAGAAAATCGAGTGAACCTTCAACAAGGGATCATTAAAGATCTCTCTGTTAAATTGTGCAAAATGTTGTTAACTTGTGAGTATCATTACAAGCTCGATGCATGCAAATTATAAAGAAAATCTAATGACTAGATTTTCTACAAAGGAACAAAACCGATTTTAATTGCCTGTTTATATCTATTCATATCACCATGGCAATGGCACATACGTCAGCTTAACTATCGAAAAAACAAAGTTTGTGTTGTTAACTTGCTTGCTGCCAGTTTTGGCGACCGAGAGATCAAGGGTTTTAGAGAAAATGGTGAAGGAAACAAAGGTATCAAAAACTGTGTTCAGCCACCTTAAGTCAAATAGCAAAAAAGTGAACCACCCTGAATCACCTCAGAACTAAAACGCTTTCGCCGTATTCAGATTGAAAGGAAAAGTGGCTCATTTTCCTGGGAAGGAATCATTTCAACGTGACGAATGTTGCTTAAATGGAGACTGCGTAAAGTGCTTGTGAGCTTATGGGCTCTTCGGGAGACTGACAACCCAAAACTGAAAGATGTTATAATTTATTTCGTGAATTATGATGACAGGCACATTCTGAAAAAAGAACTCCGAGTGCTCCTAATTGAAGTATAACACACCACCCACTCATCAGCACTTCAGATGCTTTACCAATGAGCTATAGGAGACTTGGATATTATAGTTTAGGCAATTACCATGAAAAATCTGATTGATTGAGAACTTTCAAAGTCATGGCAGGCGGCCGATGGTTTCTCTGGTCCGCGAAATAACAAAATAAGGAGAAGAAAAATAAGGAGAAGAAAGTCATGGCAGGCGGTCGATGGTTTCTCTGGTCCACTATCGTGGTGCTTTTTTCAGGCATATTTTGTCCTAACATTGATAATTCCTCTTCACAGTACAGTCAACGTGTTATTTTTAATTGCGAAAATATATTTTCGTGGTCCCGGTCCTTCCACGGATCTCGGAGAAGTCTCAACGGCTTTGCTCGAATCCTTCAGCCATTTCGACCTCGAAGAAAGAGTTATCTTTCTGCTCGCACGTTGTACCCAAATCATGACGCGAGCTTCGCTTTAGAGAGGATCGTACATAGTGGGGAGGTGGCTATCAATCCAGGCCCTGTCAATGCGAGTTCCATGACCGGCGAATCAAGGGGTTGCTCAATTAGCAGAAGAACCGTCGCGTACAACCATCGAGCGTTGACGTGTAGTTCCTGTACTGGTTGGATTCACATCAAATGTGGGCAAGTGACGCCAACAACTGCAACATGGATGAACTTGAATGGTCACACGTCACCGCTCGATGGTTGTACGCGACGGTTCTTCTGCAAATTGAGCAACCCCTTGATTCGCCGGTCATGGAACTCGCATTGATAGGGCCTCAATGCTGCTCAGTCAGTTCGGTTTCCACACCTAGTTCCCTTTCTGTAAACAACCGCCAACTTGTCCATCCTTCCTGTGAAACCTGCTCAAGGACCATCACTTCTAATCACCGCTCCTTACGTTGTGCTTCGTGTTCCAATTGTTATCATATGAATTGTGCTGCTGTGAGACCCGCAGACTACGCTCAACTCAGCAGCAAACGGTGGAATTGCTCTGTGTGTTGTTCAAGAGAGTTAATGAAAGAACTACCTTTCTCTGTTGTAGATGATAGTTTCGAAGCTTCAATTGACTTAGAACAGGATGCAGAAGAAACGACCAACTGTGACGATGGCCTCTCTGATTTTGTAAATCAGTTGGAATACGGCACTTCCAATAGAGACCTCAGATTAGCGCACCTGAATATGTGTAGTCTAAGGAACAAGATCGAGGAACTCAGATGCCTCCAACAACTGTGTAAATTTGAAATTCTCGAAATCACCGTGACACATCTTGACAAAAAGGTGCCAGATTCCGAAATATTAATCCCCGGAATGAAGTTCGTAAGATTAGATAGGAAGGGTCGAAAAGGAGGAGGATGCTTATTATATTATGGGGAGCATTTGCATGCTTCTCATCGTAAAGATCTTCTCACACAAAACATCGAAGCGGAGTGGCTGCAAGTCAAATTCCCAAGTTCTTCAGTGTTGTTTTCAGTAATCTACAGACCGCCAGACGCTAGTGAATTCTTTGATCTTGTCAGTGCCACCTTACAAAAAGCTAGTTTGGCTGTAAACGTCTAACATTGTGCTACTAGGGGACTTCAACTGTGACTTTAAGACGGAATCTGAGCAGTGCGCTAACGCCAGAAAACTACGCTCCATTTTCGAAACATTTAATATCCAAAACGTGGTAAATGCAAACACTAGAGAAACACCAACAACAAGTACCCTGTTAGATCTAATTGTTACAACAAGGACTGATCTTATGGGCAAGTGTGGTGTTTTCCCTTTGGGAATTTCAGACCACAATATGGTATACGCAACGATGAAGTTAAAGAATAAAAGGCCACCACCGAAGTACATCAAAACAAGAGATTATGGGAAACCCGACATTAAAAAATTTCAGGCGGACGTTGAATCCGCGCCTTTCCATATAGTGTCAGTCTTCGAGGAGCCAGATGATATCTTATGGGCATGGCAAACCTTGTTTAAAGGAATTTGTGACGAACACGTCGCCCAGAAAGAAGTTAAGATCAGAAGTAAATAGGCTCCTTGGATAACTAACGAAATCCGCTACAAGATCAATAAAAGATACAAGATTTTCAAAGTAGCAGTCAGCACAAAATGCCCTGAATTGTGGTCAAAATACAAGAAAGCTAGAAATGCAGTCACGTCAGCTTTGCGAAGAGCTAAAGCATCCTATTTCACCAATATGCTCGAAGAAGTAAAGAAATCTAGTGCCTACTGGAACTTAATGAACAGAACTACAAATCGCTCAGCACGCAACAGAACAATAGGCCCCCTTAAGAGAACCGACGGCAGTTTTGCTTTAATGGATAAGGAAAAAGCACAAATGATGATGCATACTTTTCGGAGATTGGCGAGAACTTAATTAAATCACTGCCAATGCCACCGCAGCCCGCTTCAGTGGATGCCAGCACGTCACCTTATATATTGTCACCTAAAAGCCCTATTTCGATTACAAACCATTCTGTTGAAAAAGAAAAGATAAATAGATTTAAGACGAATAAGTCAGTTGGACCTGATGACATCTCGCTTAAACTTCTCAAATAGGCAGGAAAGGCTATTGTACCAGCATTAGTCAACCTTTATAATTACAGCATTGAACAAAGAATTGTCTTTTCCTTATGGAAGACTGCCCGATCAACTCCGCTTTTCAAAAAGGATGATGAAAGAGACTGCGGAAATTATCGACCTGTCTCCCTTTTAAGCGTACCAAGCAAGATCCTGGAAGCAGAAATAAAAGATAGACTGGTGCAGCACGTTTCTGTCGACAATCATTTAATCACAGAGAAGCAATGGGCCTACCGACGCGGCTACTCGACTGAGCTCTTCCTAGTACATCTGACAGAAATATGGAGGAGAGCGTTAGACTCTGGTAATGTTGTCGCAGTAGCCTTTGTGGACTTCAGAAAAGCGTTCGACAGCGTATCACACGAAATCTTGCTGAAAAAGCTGAAATATAATTTCGGTATCACGGGAGTGTTGCTAGATTGGATTGAGGGGAAGAATGCAGTACACTGTGATTAATGGAGTCAAATCTGACATGTTACCAGTAACAAATGGTATACCACAGGGATCTGTTTTAGGCCCTATTTTGTTCACTTTGTTCACTAATGATCTGCCCGCCGCCATTACCACGGGATCCCTGTTCATGCACGCGGACGATACGTCAATTTTCAGCATCGGAGAGTCTGCAGACGCAGCGATTGCTTCCTTGAACTGTGCTTTGCAAGAGGTCTTCAGGTGGTGCCTAGAGAATTGCTTAACACCTCACCCGGCTAAGAGCGAAGTCGTGTTAATTAGTACACCAACCATTATAGGACCGCTACCTCCTATATTTTTGGGTAAATCTGTTTTAGGCTATGTCAAAAAATCGCGTCTTCTTGGAATGATTGTAGATGACAAGCTTACCTGGATACCGCATATGCTAGAACTAAAGAAAAACTTTGCGAACAAAATAGACTTATTGAAGCGCTCAAGGTTCTTGCCCAAAAATGTCCTTTTAAAGTTTTATTTTAGTGTAATATTACCTTCTGTGAAGTATGTATTATATTATGGGGTTCGTGTACAAATTCGGATCTTCTGTACTCAATTGAGAAACTTCACTGTAGAGCAGCAAAAATTGTCTACAACTTATGCAAAGATACGGAATCTAATGTAGCTCTCGACGTTTCAGGATGGGATACGATCAATTTAGAATACAAATTTCAAATAGTTAACCTTTTTTAAAGAGCAAGTAAAGTCTCACTACCTCAGTCTCTAATTAATAGCATATTCATAAGGCGGGAATGTAGCTATTCACTAAGAGACCAAGAAGCAATAACCACACCTAGATTCAACACTAGATTGTTAAAGGACACTTTAGCATATAGAGGTTCGGTGCTATGGAACTATGTTAACCATCATGTCAAAAATGTAGGTAGTTTTGCCCTTAAGAATCTCAGGAGGCTACTAAGGAGAAACAATCACTTCACAAGCTTTACTTTTACTAGTTTGTCAGGTTTGACGGCTAGGAATAGATTACTGATTACAAGTATTTTTAAGTTGAGAGGAAATTGAATGTTTTATTGTATTATCATAAGTTAGCTAGATACTATTTTGTTAAGTATACGACCCCACAAGCTTTTTAGCTTTAGCTCTTATCGTGTATAAATAAAGATTCTACTACTGCTACTACTAAAATTTCAAAACCTCTTGTCGGTGTAGTGTACTCAAACTTTTGCAAACGCAGAGAGCATGTCCTCTTTGGTAGATTGCTTAAAAATGTATAGTCAGGACAATTATTGAATTTGGCCATAGTTGATTTGGTGTCTGTGTTACAACAGATTACTCAGATCTCAGATTTAATAATTCATGATATCATGCTCAACCTCATCCAAAAACTGCTCAGTCTGAGGAACTGCACACCTACCCCTTCTCTGACTCAACTTTGACCTTAACATGTTATCAGTTGACTGCACTTGAAATAAAAGTAGAATCTACAGAAGCATTCTTCAAAAACATGGCGCAGTATTTTGCATGTAGAGCCTGAAAATCTGAAAAATACCACCGAGTGAAGATTTATTGACCAATGATATCGCTATGGCGGTTAGAAAGGTAATCGACCTTCCTAATGGTCATCTGAATTCCTTTCAGTTTTCCCCAAAGCTTCCAGCTATTTCTAAGTCTTGGAACTGCAACTTAGTCTGATTCGAAGGCCACGTTAAACAGATTGATCAGGAGTGCTTGGCTCCAGCTTGGGAACAGTGAAAGACAGTTACAATTATTCATGAACTGTCTACTGTTCTGAAACAACAAAAGACAACCCTGCAAAATCGGCCCACCTGCTGAAAATGCCTGGTGAGGGTGGAAGAGAAGAGACTGGTAAGTAGACACGGTTGATTAGTAATTCAACATGGCGATCGAAGAACGATTTGAGTTGATGCTAAATATGTGTTTTTCCACAGTAAAAATGCGAGATTGGGAAAGAATTTATATGTATAAGTGAAACATATGTAATGCGTAATCGCTGATGTCTAAGTTGGGAAGGCCATCTTTTGAGGATAGCCTTCCCGGCAACATCACAAATCGCGGCAATTAGTTTCCGAGGGGGAAAAATAATATTCAAAAGCATTTCGCTGATTTTGACACGTATTTCTTCAATTATTCATGTATTGCTTATTTGACCATGTTCCCCTACATTATCATGAATTAAACAAGTATTGATGTTTTGAATTTTCTTCCAGTAAAAGAAGATGATTACAAGCGTTTCTTTGATTCAAGAAAAGGCAGAACGAGTAGACTTCAGTAAAGGGAATACTTAAAAGAAAGAAGACTTGAGTTCCTTGTACACGAATACTCTACAACAAGAGGTCGCAACGGTGTGATTTAGGAGACTTGGCTCTTCTGAAAGTGGAATCGATCAAAATTGAACCCGATTGGTGCCGATCAATCAATAAACGGTGCGGTCTAACTTTCTTAAGGAGCCTGAAGTGATGAACTGACCAATTGAAATCGTTATAGCTGATCAGACATCTCAGTTCCTCTGTTGATTAAGGTGTATGAAGATGACTGGAGATTGCGGATACAAGTGCTTGAAATTTATGGTAGTTTTCTTCAACTTATTATTTTGGCTTGCCGGCTGTACTTTGTTTGGTTTAGGAATATGGTTGCTCAGCAATAAAGGAGAAGTAGCAGGAGATTATACCAAACTGGCGGGCTCCATCAACTACAGGGCCGCACCCATCTTATGTGTTGTTATTGGTGCAGTTACAATCGTGGTGGCATTTATGGCATGTTGTGGAGCAATCAAAGAAAACCAATGTATGCTTGGTTCCTACTTTGCATTTATTGTGGTAATATTTTTTCTGGAAATTACTGCCATTGTTCTAACTTATGTCAACAGGGAAGAAATTGAGAACAATCTACGAGGTGACATTCAAGAAACTTTGAATGAGTATCGAGATCCTGAGCATGAAGCTGTCACAAGAGCAATTGACGAAATACAGGGAAGTTTTAAATGTTGTGGAAATTACCAATATATTGATTGGTTTAACACCAGTTGGGGAAGAAGGAACAAAGGATCCATTCCTAAAAGCTGCTGCAAAGACCCTTCAGATGATACATGTAATAAAAATGCTACTCAGGATCCAACAAAAGTCTACACCCAAGGTTGTTATGACTTTGTCAGGAAATATCTGTTGAACAATCTTCATGTGATCAGTGGATTTGGCATATGGATTGCAGTTATTCAAATCATGGGAATGATATTTTCTCTATGTTTATGTTGTCAGATCAGGTATAATAATGACACTTATGTGTGACTGCACTTTAAAGTATATTTCATAGCTATAGCTTCCTTTTGATGTATGATTAATTATTGGTATTTTTAATTTGTAAGGGAAGTCAAATGGTGATGTGGGCCAGTTCGAGTTATAATTTATAGCAAATTACAGAAAAATATGACCTAAGAAGGATAAAAAAAGTAATTGGTGGAAGTTGAGATCACAGAAGCATGTGATGTTTTATTTGTGTCATGAATATTTTGGATCAGTGTGCATATTGTAGTCACTAGAATGTAGTATATGCAGGGTTTATCAACAATCCATGTAATGGCTATATTTATTATGTTTTTGCTAGAGCAGGGGTTTCAATAAAATTTAAAGTAGGTAGCCGGTTAGTGAGAGTAGCCGACCGTACCAACAAGGGGCTTTTACTTGTCACTCGTGAAGTGATTTTACAATACAAGATATTGAACAATTTTAAGTACGATTTTGATATGTGAATCGATGCTGTTCACCAACGACCCACTACCACCTCAGAACGAGTTGAGTGCCATGACCAACGAGCTGTGTCCGATCTTTTGATAATTATTTAATTTTGAAATTGAGGTAAAAAGTTCATACAAGCCCATCAAAATTGATTTTAGTTTAGTTTTCAAAGACTCTTTCTTTAATAATAAATTTAGGGAAAATGTAGCCAACTATTCTGAGCAAAGTAGCCAAGGCTTTTCGTCGGCCGTTGGTGCTCATTGAAAGCACTGCTAGAGTGTATCAGATAAAGTTTAAATTTCCGGGTGGTGGAAAAGTGCTGCTCTGAGGTTACGCTTGCGTACCAGCAGCAAAAAAATAAACTATTGTGATTTTTTTGTAGATGTGTGTTTTTGTTTGTATCACTCGGTTGATAATCTGGGTATTAAAATTTTTTTCAAAATGCATGACAATTAACTTGCTATTATCTTAAAGTTTGGTTGATTTTACTTTGTTGTTTGTTCATTCTAAGTAGCATTAGCACACTCACTTTTCTTGGTAGGACTGTTCCCCTTGGGAATGCAAAACTGAGGTACTTATTGAGATGAAGAGATGATTTAGACTGGGCCATGAATCTCACACCATGATCATACATCCATAAATTACCCTAAAAAGTCTGTTGAGCTGGATATTGACCAAGCTCTTCCGAGAATTTCTAAAGCTGGTGAAACAAATAATGGTAAATTTTTTGTTCTGTGAGATAAAAGATGGTGCAAATCCTATATGAGCAAGGTTGATGCATTTTGCTCATGTAGCTAATCGCATCACACCACAAAATATGCTTTATCTTGCCAGTGCTAGGGGTGGTAATCAGATCAGGATTTGCTTTATTTTGCCCTCCCTTAGAGCCATCCATGTTCAGGAGAAGTTAATTTGCTTGATATCAGGCAATGGTCATCCTCTGGAGAAGACAAGAGCATACTTCTGTGCATACACTGAAATTATACTACAATAAAATTGCAAAAGTGTTTTTTTCATCTTCTTTTTCTTGGAGAAATTTCGGTCTCAGCCGATGAGAAACAATTTTTGGTTCTGTCCTCGTGTACCGGTTCACAAGAGCCAATACAAAAGACCAAACAATACACAATAGCTAACCGATAACTCCTAAACAAAGAAAGAACAATGGTAATTCCCTTGTGAACCGGTACACCAGGACAGAACCCAATTTTTGTGCAATTGGCGTTTGAAAGATACTTCATGCGTCGTACATGAATTCATTTTGAGATTTTTTCCTTTTGACGAGTCATTCTTCGACTCATCTCCAGGCACACGCAGGTACGTTGATATTGGGCTCAGAGAAACATACAATGTTTTACGTTTAACTTTTTCTACATTGTGTTTGCGTAAAACTTCCGAAAAAATTTAATCTTCTAACGATTTTGGTATGTCTAAGCAGCGAAACTTGAAATCAGCCAAGCCCAGCGTTGGTAAGCTTCCATCAGACCAAACACAGAATTGCGATCAAGATCAGAGTGCCTTAGGTCAAGGAAAAGATAAAACTTTGTCTTCCAAAGCTACAAGAGCTCAGGAATCCTTCAGTGTCTATTATGTTTTGTTATCTTTGGTAGTTATCGTAATTGCGGGTCTTTTAGCCTTTTTTGTCTCTCACCATGTCAAAAATTCCGTAACTGTGCCAACTAAGACAGATACCAAACCCAAAGTGGTACTACTCACTGAAGATGAACTTTCCAAACATGACGGGTCTGATCCCAACATGCCGATATACCTGTCAATTCTTGGTAGAATTTACGATGTCGATAAAGGAAGACAGCATTACAAAGTTGGAAGTGGGTACAATGTGTTTGCTGGTCGCGATTCCACGCCTTCGTTTGTCACAGGAGAATTCGCACGAGAGAAGGCTACGGATGATGTGAAGGGATTGTCTCCGGAAGAAATGTTAGGTGTTAAAGAGTGGTTAGACTTCTACAGAAAGGATTATAGTTATGTTGGAAAGTTAATTGGTCGCTACTACGACAGTGAAGGAAATCCCACTGAGGCACTGAATGAAGCTAAAATAGTCATAAAGGAAGGGCAAAAATTAAAGAAGCTTCAAGAAGCTGAAAATAAACGCTATCCTGGTTGTAATTCAAAATGGAATGCAGAAGAAGGCTCAACGGTTTGGTGCTCTGAAAACAGGTATGAATATCCCAAAATACCAAAACTGTTTGCAGCAGTTAAGAAAGGGATAGTTTGTGTAGAATCGTAAATCATACAATGATTGCCAGAGAAAATTGATTTGCCTAATTAAAAAAGATGTGCTAATGAGGAGAAAGGGACACAATCTTTACAGTAGGAAACAATGAAATATGAGTAGTATTTTATAAACTGCGCGGGTCAATTTAAAATCGGACCACAAAACTTTTGGTAAATTGGTGACTTATATGGTTAGTCACCAAAGGTTATTTCTAGAAACATGGACAAATGGTGGCAGCTTGGGAGCCCTGTACTGAAAAGGGTTTGCACAGGGCATAGTTGGATGTGCCACTAGCTTCTGAATGAAAAACTTTGAAAATGGTAGAGTGCATTTGTCAATCACAAGTGTCATGCCAGTTTAATTTTCTACATATACAAACATACATACTTTATTTGTCATGTAGGTCGATAAAAGGCAGCTAAAAAGCTGATGTGGACCTACAAACTAAAGTGTATCTACAAAATTTAAATAGTAATAATAACAACCTTGTGAATTTATGGTAAGTAAGAAAAGATGTAATACCAAGTAAGATAATCTACAGTTAATTGACTGTAGTGTTAAAAATAAATAAAAATAAATAGAAATAGTAAAATAACATTAATATATGTGATTTACAATGTCTTTATTTATTCCCTGCAAACCATTAAATGTAATTTTATCTAAAATGTCAGATTTTGCTTTAAGAGTAGATTTAAAAGAAACAATGTTTGGTTTGCTCTTTAAGTATGTGGGTAAGTTATTCCATAGAATAGACGCATGGTGAGAGAAGGAAGATCAACGGAAGTCGCTTTTAGGGCGTTGCACGGATAGTTTCAGACTGTCCCTTAGATTTCTCAATGGAGAGTGTTTAATAAATAGAGCTTATACCAACCGGAGCTCTATTATAAAATGCCTGATAAGATATGGTTGCAATCCTCTTTTTGTAGATGTATGATAAGGACTTCCATTTTGTTGCTGCCAGGACTTCACTGTTGGGAGTAGATTCCTTTAGGTTAAAAATAAATCTCGTTGCTTCAATGTGAATGTCCTCTAGGGTCTGAAGTGACTTTGAAGATCCCCGTAGTGCAATTGAATATGTAACAATTGGAATGATACCTTTGAAATAAATTGACTCTAAGATGCTTGACTCTAAGATTGTTGAGTCCTTTTAAGTGTTTGAGTTTCTTCACTCTTGCTGAAAAACGCTTGCTCAAAGATTTTACATGTGGCGACCAAGAGAGTTTATTATTGATAAGAATCCCTAAACATGTAGCTTTGGAAACAAACGACAACTCATTTTTGCCTAAACAAATTTTCTGTAAGGGTCAAATGAATTTTAATTTTGATAACAACATTAGTTCAGTTTTGCAGGATGAATAGTCATGAAGTTATCTGTGGCCCATTTGTTTAAGTTGATGATCCCTCTCTGTATCTTAGATAAGACTTCATCAACAGTATTTCCAATGCAGAAAACTGTAGTATCATCTGCAAACATTTCAATGGAAGGGTTCGTTGTGGCTCTGGGCAGACCATTTGAGTAATTGCTGTAGCCATGCCTTTCTAGGTTTTCTCCTATAATTTGCACTTTGTATTTATACCCCATTGTTATTATCTTTATGACGGAATCTTCACCCAAAATTTGTTAATTTTTTAAGGAACCTTTACCATGCAGTGAAGTTCAGTATGTTTGAGAATCAGTCATGTCTTTCACCACGATTTGAAACTTATTATTAACTGAATCTTTTGTATTTCTCCTGTAGTGGTGGAATTAGTCGTAATTGGGTCGGAGTGCCAAGAAAAATGTTTAAACCAGGCAAAAAGGATTCTAAATGTGTGTGTGTCAAGACTACTGGCCCATCAAGTGAGAGTGGTGAAGGAAATGATGGTGACTTGAATAATCCTATAATGAAGCAGTATTCAGGGTGTGGCAAATATGATGTCTCCTGTAAACTTTAATCTTTTTGGACTTCAAGAAATTGATCTTCAGTGTTATCTGCTTTTATTCAATTTAAGCCCTTAGCTATATAGATTTCTTGAACTAAATTTAGGTGATGGTTTTCTGTGCAAATGTATATTTAAATTAATGAGAGCAGTGCTGTATTAGTGATTGTGTAGTGCACAGTTGAATTATACTTGAATAATTTTTATGTTAAATTAACTTAGATGCATTGTCACTAGATTAAGTTTGTCATGGATGGCACAGGATTACTAATTAAGTAATCATACAATTTTTTAATTGAAGTTTTCAGTATAGGATGTATTATATTTTTTGCTAGAAATGCAGCAAATTATTTCAGTCTTGCACTGTCTGTACCATACATTACCTCGCCCGTTGTTAGAATCTTTAATTTTAACATGATTAAAAAATTGTCCATTAACTGTTTCACAGCTCAAGCTTGAAAGTTAGGTATGTCCAAAGGAATCTTACCATAGTTTATAATTTGCTCAATGCCAGCATCTTGAATGTGAGGTGAAAGCTGGAGCTGGAAGCGGGAAATTAGAGGATGGAAGATTTTGTGTTTTTATTGAGCTGGATCATAAAATAACACATGGTGTCTTATTTTTTTCATTAGTTTTCTTTTTTTCTGAGATCCTTGAGCCATCATACACACTTCAACTTTTGGAGATGGTGACACCATTGTTCTTTACCCACACCATCCCTTAAATCTGCTGGCAGATAAAACAATGGGTCATTCTTATTCCCAGAACCACTTGAAAACTTGAATACTATACTGTAACTTAGTTCTTTTGCTAGAGTAAAACTCTGCGTCAGTGTGCGTTTACTTATTACATATGTGTTATCGACCAAGCGTGAGGTCAAGATGGCTGAATATTGGCCGAGTTCTTTTTTTTCCTTTTTTAAGGACCGAGACAAAGTCTAGGTTTATAAAAACGTAAAAAAGAAAGTGGCCAAAAATATAGCCATCTTGACCGAACAATCTTGGTCAATGAAGAATTTATCATATAGCAAAAAGATTTCGCTTCACTAAGAATCAACAATGACTTTTTTATTTTGAGAGCCAGGGGAGAAAGCCAACTGTGTAGCGCAATAAACCTACGAGGATCGTTCAGTTTTTTTCTGTCTTTTACCGCTGTTTGTGACTTCGTTGCCGATATCGTCCAAAAGCTACAAACTTTGTAAGTCCGCTCCACGCACTTTTTTCCTGCGTTGGATTTAAGCCTACGGGCGCTGCGAGCGATGTAATAATAGTTCTCATTGTTTCCAGTGGGGTTGATTGGAGTAGCAACAGCACTCATAATTTAGACAGTCTTATTTTGGAGCCCAGACTTACTCGATGTAAAGATGTCCTCTCAGCCTGGAGACAACAGGAGACAGCTATGCTACCGGGCCCAATCAACAGAGGCAATCATGGCGGACTTTCATCAAGGAAGCTAGCTAATCTGCTTTTACCTATCTCTTTCATTTTTATGTGTTATATTTTGAGCTGTTTTCCTTGGAGTTATGGCCGAGTTTCAGGCAGTGATAATGGCGGCTGGCACTGGGTCTCGTATGTTTCCTTTGACTGAGAAAATCCCTAAAGCCTTGTTACCTGTTGGAAATTTGCCTCTGATATGGTACCCAATTAATTTGCTCGATAAAGCAGGATTTGAAGGTAAGACGCGAAGCTCTGAGTGATTTGATCTCAGAAAATGGTCAAATTTATCTCGCTTAGTAAAATTTGTGACATCCTTTGTGCTATTTAAGAAAATTGTTAATTTTTGCGAAAATAAATATAGACACGTTTCTACACGTGCTGAAACTTTCCTAGAAAGCTTTGAAATCCAGAAATTTTTTAACCCATCCGAAACTAAATAGTGTAAACTCCCCTTATTGTTGTACAGAAAGAATTTTAGTCACAGGGTTTTCAGTACCCTGCTGGCAGAGTTGTTAATTTGTTAACCTCCCCTACGGTCCGTGTAAAATTAGAACATAGCTAGCAGAACCGCGCAATGAAATTCAATATTTGTAAGTGTGCTCAAAATCCTGATAGTGCACGCTGACAGCGTCAGCAAATCGCTTCGCCAGAAATTTTTTTTTCGTGCGAGCGGCCGATTGTTAGCGCAGGAAAAATAATATATTTTGCGACAATAACAGATACAAACAGAAACTCGGCCTACTAGTCCGAAAACGAAGACAATGTTTCGACCTTTTCCCTTGGGCTAGAGTTCTTAAATGAGGCAGAAAAAGGGAATCGAGACTCGGCATCAGCCCCGTCACGATTCGCTTCAACTGATATTGTTGTCCATTTTTCCCGTCGGAGTTGATGCACAATTCTACTGGCTATGTTCTAAAACAATTGGTTCATGCTTTCAGCTGTGCA